TTCATCCACTTGTCTGTTAACCATGAAATCATCCAATTTGGACTTGCTGCACATTAAATTAACCTTATCCTGGTCTGGCAAAGTGCTAGACAGGTTATTCTAATGTTGTAACTGCTACGCCACGGCTATTCAGAGTAAATTTATGGAAGGTGGTTATCGTATTAGAGGTCACCGACTTCACCTTAAGCAGTTACCAATGCATTATGTTGAACACATGTCTGTAAAACCTACCTGTGTAATCTACTTTAAGAACAGGATTTCAAATTCGAATTCAGCTTTTAGAAATTGTACAAATCCAAACATAATTAATTAAATGATAAACCATACATATAAGCATTTTCCTCTAGCTCAGTTACCTACTACTACTACTACTACTACTACTACTACTACTACTACTACTACTACTACTACTACACTGTAAATCCCAACAGTCAAATTTATCCTAACTTAAGTTAACTTAAAACTTAATGGAAATTGATTCTACTTCATTTGAAAAGAGTTTTGAACTCTTTTACTGTGTGAAGCTGTTGATACTGTTTGTGAAGGTATGTGATGATCCTCTGCTTAAATTTTAAGAGATTGAACGTGTTTTATTTCTTTTAATAATGTGACTTAGATCGTTGTAGTTTTGAGTTTCTCTTTAGTTAATCTGCTTTTCAACAACATGTGCTTATCATTAATGCTCTATCAAGACTTAATCACTCAAATATATACTTCATCTTAAATGGATTAAGTTCACTCAGTCCTTATATAGATTAGTTTTTGAACTTAAATGGTTTGTGGCAACCGGTTTCCTCAAACGGTTTGAGTTGCCTTAACTAATTGGGTTTTGAGTACTCAATTGGTTTTAGTTCTCTTAATTCATTGGGTTTTGCTGTGCTCAAGTTGTTTAGTGTACTCAAATGGATTAAGTTGACAGTACTCATATAGATTAGTTTTTCAACTTAAATGGTTTGTTGCAATCAGTTTCCTCAAACAGTTTGAGTTACCTTAACTAATTGGGTTTTGAGTACTCAATTGATTTGAGTTCTCTTCATTTATCTTGTTTTACTGTGCTCGAATTGCTTTGTATACTCAAATGGATTGACTTCACATTACTCTTTATAACTATTTTTTTTTTACTTAGACCATTTGAGGAAACTGATTGCCACAAACCATTTGAGTTACCTTAACTTATTGGTATAAGTTTTACAGTGTACTGCTACTAATACTAATTTTACTAATACTAGTACGACTACGAATAGTAATGCAGTGTCTTTAGCTGTGTATTTGTCAATTAGGCTAGTGGACCTACATTTATCTGAGACTGAGACAATTATCTATTCCGAGGGCGCATGTGCATGTGCTGACCACAGAAACTGGCGTGCTTGTGTTTGTTTGCGGTAAAGCTTGTGTTAATGCTCGTTCACCTGTTTTAAGGTTCGTATTTTAACTTGCGTCCCAAGACGCAAAATGTTGGCAAAGTTCTTTGTGGTGCTATTGATTTTAAATTGCGTCATTGACTGCATCTGTGCATTGGGCGCTGGAGTGAATCTGGGAAATTTGAGGAACGATGGATTGAGGATGATTTTTTAAAGCCATCAGGATCTGTTAAGACTCTAATATAAAGTCAAACGTCACCAAAGCGCATACCCTCTCTGAAATAATTGGTTCTATAAAAACAGCGTCTGGTAAAAGGACGAAACAGCAAGGTGCTATAGGTGGAATTCGAAACCGGCTTAAACACCGTAACAGTCTGTTTCCTCTTACTATATCGTTAACTAACGGTCGTTCGCTACAAAATAAAATGCCAGAACTTGAAGCACTGGTAAAGTACTTAAATCCAGTGTTAAAGACAAATTTCCTTCCTGTGTCAAGCAGAACAGACAATAAAGTTTAAACTAAACTAAAACTAAACTAAACTAATACCAGTGGAATAATGCATTTAAAATATTTACTTAGAATGTGATGTTACACAGGAATAAACTTGATGGACTAAATAATGTGCATCAAGAACAAGAATTATAACCTTCAACTTAAAGAAAGAAAGAAAGAAAGAAAGTAATACTTTGAAATATGTAATAATATAATTGTATCCATTTTATACTTAATGAAAATAATTCTGTAGTTTTTCACTGTACTGTGCTGCAGTTTTTTCAAGATTATTTGCTGATTTTTTTTTTTTTTGCAAATAATCTTTAATATTATATATGTATTTACTCACATTTTGATCAATTTAATGCATCTTTCTTTAGTAATAAAACAACACAGTCACTCACACTTTTCATTTTAAATTTAGCAATACATAAGTACTGCCAAATTATCAGTCAATGACAAAAAATATGTATTTTTGTGAAGTTGCAGTCAAAATCCACTCAACTCAAGAAACCCATTTATTGCTAAATCACTTCCAATTATGCAGTCGTCTAGACCAACTTCAGTTATAACAGAGCACACTTAACATAGAGTGGGAGAAACCGTAAGACTGCAAGGCACAAATAGATTTATTATTATTATTATCCTTTAATATCTTTAAAGTTTCTGTAGCACCACTAGTCCTGAAAAACAGAAGACACCAACAAGGCACAATCAATTTATCAATAAAGTCCTTATTGTCCGAGTCAAACCTAAGAAGCCAAAGCAATTTAGGAACACTTTGTTCTCTCTGAAAGATCTCTTTCTCAGAGGCAGGCTAATCAAATGTCCGAAAAGACTATCTCTAGAGTCACTGGTCAAGCTTAGGAGGAAGAGAGAGGATCTCAACAGCTTCATTACTATATAGCTGCCCAAGGCACATGGCCCTCTGGACATGGCTGAAATCATATCCGTTTGTCTTCAGGGACAGGTACTTACTCATCCGCACTTTAACCTGCTGCAGCAGAGCAAGCCCTCCAGAGGGACCATCAACCATAGAGTTCTTTTCACACACAACTACACTCTATTTCTACCTCCTTCTCTCTCACACACATGTACACGCTAGTTTAAACTCTGATGTTACTGATGTTCTTTTTGTAATTGAAGAAAGACAATTTTTTCATTGTTTTTAAAAATGTGGATTATTGTTTTCATTATTTGAGCTTTTGAAGGAATTGTTTGATTCGTTTGGAGAAATGGTCTCTGATGTTTGTTTTATTTTTGAAGTGAAAATTAAGGGCGGAAAAAGAAGAATGTTTGTAAAATGTTAAATTATTTGTTGGAACAAGCTAAAGTGTATGCAACAAGAAAATGGAACAAAGCGATGATCTAAATGTGCTATCGTTTTTTTATGCATAATAAGAGCCAGAATTATTATTATTATTATTATTATTATTATTATTATTATTATTATTATTATTATTATTATTATTATTATTATTATTATTATTATTAATATATACATTTTCAAACAGCATCACAAAAACTAAATGACCATAATTTTAAAAGACCATAATAGGAACCATTGTTATTACTATTGTTATTATTATTATTATTATTATTATTATTATTATTATTATTATTATTATTATTATTACTATTATTATTTATTTATTTATTTATTCATTCTCTTTTCGGCTTAATCTAGAGTCGCCACAGCGAAAAGAACCGCCAACTTATCCAGCATATGTTTTTACGCAGTGGATGCCCTTTCAACTGCAACCCATCACTGGGAAGCACCCATACACTCTCATTCACACACATACACTACGGTTAATTTTAGCATACCTAATTCACCTGTACCGCATGTCTTTGGACTGTGGGGGAAACTGGGGCACCCAGAAGAAACCTAGACTACATGAACGCGGGAAGAACATGCAAACTCCACACAGAAACGCAAACTGACTCAACCAAGGCTCGAACCAGCGACCTTCTTGCTGTGAGGTGAGTCAGGCGACAGCACTAACTACTGCGCCACCGGGTCACCTTTAATAATAATAAAACTAATAAATATTATTATTATTATTATTATTATTATTATTAATATTATCATTATTATTATTATTATTATTATTATTATTATTATTATTATTATTATTATTATTATTATTATCATTATCATTATTATTATTATTATTAGTAGTAGTAGTAGTATTAGTAGTATTAGTAGTAGTAATAGTAATTGTTATTATTGTTATTATTTTTATTATTATAATTACTATTATTATATGTAGTAGTAGTAGTAGTAGTAGTAGTAGTAGTAGTAGTAGTAGTAGTAGTAGTATTAGTAGTAGTATTAGTAGTAGTAATAGTAATTGCTAGTATTGTTATTATTATTATTATTATTATTATTATTATTATTATTATTATTATTATTATTATTATATCCATTTTCAAACAGCAACACAGAACCTAAATTATCAGAATCAAAAGTTGTACAACTAAATATTTCATATTATTTCACTGCTTCTTGTTGACGAAATACTGTAGCTATATTTAAAACATCCATCTTAAAACTTGCCTTGTTTTACCATCCATCCATCTCTTCCTAGCTGATGTGGGTAATTAGTTTTATGATTGGGGAAAATATTGTGCAACTTAATCAATGAAAATGGCTCTAATTTGGTGGCTGGGTAACTGCCTGACTAACTGAACCCGGAGGCAAATTCTGACCCTCATTTAATCTGCTTCTGTCAAAACCTACAGTGCCATATCACACACTCAAAAAATGTTTTACCTCAACCAGTTTCTTCAGTAACTGAAATGGAATGCCGTGCAACGGGAACAAGCTTGAGGGAAGATGTACACTCAAAAAAATGAAAAGCTAAGTTACAGCTCAAGGCCCCTTGGACTTCAAGCCTATGGGCAACATAGTGGTTAATTTGTGAATGCCCAGAATTTTTTTTCCCTCTCTCACAGTCCATGCTCTTTTCTCTGGAGCACATATCGAAAAAATAGCCTTAAACACATAATGAGCAATGGAGGTAATAATGCTGTATAATTTCCTCTCTGTGGTGGTAATAAGGTGGGTGTTAATGTGGGGTCACTTATTGGACACACTCCTTACGGCCATTTGCTACAGCCATCAGTAAATTGAAACTACTCACCATAGTCTGTGTCATAGAAGATAATGAACTTCTGCCAAGTGTACTCCATCACCACTTGGAAGATGACGTCATTTAGATAGACGGGAGGGCGGACGAAGAGGGTGTAGTCATCGGGTTGTGCACGAGTTGTGGGTGGGCAGCTGGAGCGAGGAGTGCCCGCGGGTGCCCTCTGGATGAAGAGGTGAGGGATGTGCATGGCATCAGCTAAAGACTGCAGCGAGCCTGCGGACATGCAGCCGATAGAACTGACCAAGGCTAGGATCCCTCTGTTCATCAACTCGCATGCTGGGGGGAACAGAGAAAGAGAGAATGCTTAATATTAAATCGATCTGGTTTAGCTTTTCAGAAATTTATAAAACTGCACTCAACGCCAAAATATGTTACAATACATTTTTGTTTTGAAAGTCTCTAACAAATAATAGACACTGGTTGATTATAACTTTGAGACTTGCTGGTCTGAAGGCCTTTACCCTTCAAGAATGTATAAAAAATGCAAGCTCTTTGAGGTGAACACCTTATACTGTTTTTTTTTTTTTTTCTACAATGGGCAAAACAAAACTGCAAGATCCAGACATTAAAAGTATCCTATCATGTAGACCCAGAAACTCAAGCTACTCCATAGCAACTTTTCAAAATAGAAGTTTGGATACTATCAAATCTTTTTATTTTGTACAGTAGAAAGCACTCTATCATGACAATTGTCTCTATTATCACATTACACCTGCTAAAGCACTGCTCACACTGTACGATTTCAGCCACAGTTTGATTGTCTGAGACAAATTTGAGAAATCCTAAGAGCTGTCTGTAATTCTAGGCTAAAACCTGTAGTCTTTGATCAATGGTTTGACTTTCACTAACAGCTACTTAATGGCCATTGCGATCATATTTTTCCTCCAATGAAGGTCTGGCAGTGTCAGAAGATTCAGACACTTTCCTGCAGTGTGACTTCAGCTATGACGCCCATATAGTGGATTTTAAGGTAGTTTTAAGGTAAGACTGGGTTCACTTTTGGTTTCAAATATGCAAAAAAAAAAAAAAAAAAAAAGAATAATTAATAATTTTGTTGTTGGAAAACCAAAATGACATTTACATAACAAGAATAGAAAGAATAGAGGGTGAAGTTTGTCGAGATGTGGTGCAAGTTTTTACGAGTTTAATTGAAGTGAGAATCAAGTTTGATAATGTTTTTATAAGAATGTCATAAATATTGAAGAGTTTGAAATGTGTGGATTTATAAAGATAGGTTGTGCTCTGTTAAAAATGGAGAAATAATAATTACAAAATTGCTCGAGTAAAATGTACTTTTGTAGTATTGATATTTTTAATATGGTATGAAATAAAGTAATTAAAAAAAAATAAATCATATGACAACCATCAAACCAAGAACAAATAAGAGCAGAATTTGTTGACACAATCAGCAAGTCCACTGCTGGGAAATGTCAAAAAAGCTTTTTGGTTTTGTTTTTAAGGTATGCTGTTAACAAAATAATGTGATAAATGGTTTATGTTTGCTGTAAGTTATTATTTCAGAACATGGATTGGTAAATGTGTCACGTATGGATGACATTATAGTCCTGATGAGTTTTCTGGATTTCATTCATTCATTCATTCATTCATTCATTCATTCATTTTCTTTTCGGCTTAGTCCCTTTGTTAATCAAGGGTCACCATAGCGGAATGAACCATCTACTTATCCAGCATATGTTTTATGCAGCGGATGCCCTTGCAGCTGCAACCCAACACTGGGAAACACTAACACACTCTTGCATTTACACATACACAACAACTAATTTAGCTTATTCAATTCACCTAGAGCGCATGTCTTTGGACTGTGGGGGAAACCGGAGAACCAAGAGGAAACCCATGTGAACACAGGGAGAACATGCAAACTCCACACAGAAATGCCAACTAACCCAGCCAGGGCTCTTCTTGCTGTAAAGCGTTCGTACTACCCACTGTGACACTTTCTGGATCTTACAGTGTAAAATGAGAATCAGGTTCATGTAGTCTGACAAATACAATCATATAGGATTATTAAAAATTGCACAGTGTGAGTCTGGCTTAAGATCATGGCAACAAATGCTAATTTCCCTCATTAAAATGGAGAACTTTTTTGGAGGGTTTAATCGTGCAAATATTTGAATTGCTAAAACAGCATACACATGTTAATTAAGGTTCAGTAATTAAAATCTAAGCACTTATCAAAAAAAAAAAAAAATGTGGACAAGCTAATCAACTACTATGTCTACCAGTAAAAAGGTAAAAACATACAGCAGCGCTCTTGTTCTGCCAATAGATGGAATTGCAATGCCAACACTCAAGTTCCCTTTTGTTTAGGCAAGTCACCATGTGGCCTGCCATCTTGATGAAATAGACACTGCATTGCTCAATCCCCAAGCGTAATAACAATCTGGCAACCAAAGGTGCTGGTGATCAATAAGTCTTTACCAATGACGTTAATTGCGACTGTGCAACTATGATTATTTCCTCTCCACTTAGAGCTCCATTAAAAATTCAACATTCCTACCAACAAAAAAACATTTGGGACTCTATCAAGCAGACTGTGGGGTGTTTATGGAAAAACATGCGCGGAAAGCAGCGATCTTCAGTATAAATACAGTTTTGAAATTTTAATTTGATAAACATTCCATTCATAAGTACTTACTCATTGGGTTTGCATAAACAGATGCTCATCAGCACTGATGCAGTTTTAAGAGCTCTGATTGGTTCTTTCATTTTACGCTTTAGTCCTTGACTGTTTTGATTGAGCTGCAGCAGAGATTTCTATAATTACATCTCTCAACCTACTGCAGAACTCCATTTTATAATGAAGCATGAAATCTATTCCCAAAGAACTGAAAGTCCCTCCCACGAATAACCTCACCCTTTTTGCCCTTGTTCAGATTGTGGCTCCCGGATGTGCAGTAAAGCTGATGTCAGACATGAACATTCATCTCACTTGACTCATTTTATTTAGCGTAACTGAAGTTAGGCAAGGTAAAATGCAGTACGTCGTAGTGGGCCGTGGAGCAGTGTAATTTGCCAACTCCGGCAAAAAAAAGGGAAAATGTCAACCAGGGGCGGAACGAAAGGTAGAGAAGACGCAAACAATACTGCTGAAAAAGCAAACTGCAAGATGAAATAGACAACCCAGGCTCATTGGAAAAAAATGTGCCTGAACGTACATTTTTGAAAAGTCAAAAAATGCACATGCTGTATACACAACTCTATATTCAGTGCAACTGTATACTCCTGCTCAGATCAAACACTGGTGTGGTGGCAGTAAACGTAAACTGCAATTCTTCTTCACACAATATGACTACAGAAGAAATTAATAAGGCAACATGTTAGTAACATGACAGTTTATGCTAGCAGCCTGCAAACTTACTTTAGTAAACACACTGATTACCGTCTGATAAACCTTTTATTATGATCAGTGTAGCAAAATCATGTTTTGCTATGGTTTAAGAACAATTACCAGTATTTATTTGTATCCAATTTGTGTAAAACCATGGTTAAATTCAATTGCTGAATGTGATAAAACATGCTAGCAATAGCTAAAACATAGCAATAGCCCTGTGCTAAATGCAAATACCACATTAAAATGACAACATTTATGGTATCAATTGAGCCTAGTTTCAACGCTGAAAAATTAAATGTAAAAAGAGCTGTCTCATTTTAGAGGTTGCATCCTCCGAAGGATGCATTCAAAATGTGTTGTGTCGTCGTTGCACGACAAAGGCTGTCATGCCTAAAAATGTGTCCTTTGTTTCCCAGGTAATAAAGAATAGAGCCAGTGAATCCTTTACAGCCTCAAACATCCTAAGATTCATTGCACGCTGAAAACGGCAAAACTTTTTAAAAGAAAATATCAGTTTAAATGTATTAATTAGGTTTATTTTACTTGGATATCTAAACATGTTTAAAAACAAAAAGAGCGTTACATGTCTCACTAAAGAGTGATTTTTTAGACAGTTTACACATTTATGGGTACATGTATGGATCAAAGGAATATATTTACATTTATATTTAGCCTCTGTAAACATTATTTTGCCTCCAAATCGCTTAAAATAAGTTTGTCTAGATCGTCTGATTTTAAAATGCTCGGTTTGGCCTGTGTGGACTTTGAAGAACTCACCTATGTAGCCTCTGAAATGAGAACCGGCTAAGGTCTCAGCTAGCAAAATGCAAGCATAATTTCCTCAGTTATAATCCAAACAAACCAGAGTAAATAAAACCATATACAGTCTGAATTATTAGCCCCCCTTTAAATGTCATTTTAAGCTGTATAAAAGTGTCTTGAAAAATATCTAGTCAAATATTATGTACTGTTATCATGGCAAAGATAAACTAAATCTGTTATTGGAAATGAGTTATTAAAACTATTATGTTTAGAAATGTGTTGAAAACTTTTTTCTCTCTGTTAAACAGAAGATGGGGGAAAAAAATAAACAGGGGGGTTATTAATTCTGACTTCAACTGTATATCCATGCCTATTATCAGATGACCAGAAAGTGATTATTTTTTTATAAATTGTTACAATATTAGTGTCTTAGATGAAGCAAGTCCAGAGACTGTTGTGTGTACCATGATTTTCTAAAAAATTTAATTTAATGTGTGATATGACTAAAAAGTGGTCATGAATATTTTCTCAACTCAAATGAGTCGCTGTTTGGACCCGGAAACAGTATTTCATACGTCACTGATATGTCAAGACTTAAAAAGGGGATAGTAGGCCACTTATCTTTATCTATAGATTTATCATTTATCTTTATATATCAATCAATAATTAGTGAGCATTAGTGTTCAGACAGACAGAAAGTTCTAGTTTATCCTCAACACTGTGATGCACTGCAACATCTGTGTAAGGCAATGCTTATGCATTTAATTAAAACGCTTATTTTAAAACAGTAGATTTTAACTCTGCAAACTGCCAATCATCCTAAAAATAAACCATAATGAAACCTTGACATTTGATTCCCGCAAAATGTGTGGAATTATGATGATTAACTTAACGCATGCAACTTAATTGATTAAATGCACAAGTTTTGAGCTGAATAAGCCCAGCTCCAGTTAATAAGATCTTGTTTAATGAGGTAGAGCGTTTTGTGCTGCCCTCCTTTATGGATTGGACTGGCTGAAAATGGAAAGGCTGGCTAATCCTTACTTATTAAAGCACTTCTGTGAATTAGTGCTATGATCTGTCAGTGATCCACATTCCTCTTAGGTCTTGCTAACTATGTTAGTGAAAGGCAGAGATGATCAATTACTATAAATGAAGTATG